ACAGGGTCATAATTCAAAATGGTCTGGGCAAATTGGAGAAATGGTCTGAGGTAAACAGGATGAAGTTTAACAAAGACAAATGCAAAGTGCTCCACTTAGGAAGGAACAATCAGTTTCACACATACAGAATGGGAAGAGACTGTCTAGGAAGGAGTACAGCAGAAAGGGATCTAGGGGTTATAGTGGACCACAAGCTAAATATGAGTCAACAGTGTGATGCTGTTGCAAAAAAAGCAAACGTGATTCTGGGATGTATTAACAGGTGTGTTGTGAGCAAGACACGAGAAGTCATTCTTCCGCTCTACTCTGCTCTGGTTAGGCCTCAGCTGGAGTATTGTGTCCAGTTCTGGGCACCACATTTCAAGAAAGATGTGGAGAAATTGGAGAGGGTCCAGAGAAGAGCAACAAGAATGATTAAAGGTCTTGAGAACATGACCTATGAAGGAAGGCTGAAAGAATTGGGTTTGTTTAGTTTGGAAAAGAGAAGACTGAGAGGGGACATGATAGCAGTTTTCAGGTATTTAAAGGGTGTCATAAGGAGGAGGGAGAAAACTTGTTCACCTTAGCCTCTAAGGATAGAACAAGAAGCAATGGGCTTAAACTGCAGCAAGGGAGGTTTAGGTTGGACATTAGGAAAAAGTTCCTAACTGTCAGGGTGGTTAAACACTGGAATAAATTGCCTAGGGAGGTTGTGGAATCTCCATCTCTGGAGATATTTAAGAGTAGGTTAGATAAATGTCTATCAGGGATGGTCTAGACAGTATTTAGTCCTGCCATGCGGGCAGGGGACTGGACTCGATGACCTCTCAAGGTCCCTTCCAGTCCTAGAATCTATGAATCTGTGAATTCAGACCTTGGTGGGTCTGTCACGTGAACCCCGGAACACCAGGACCTGGCTGAGAGTCACCAAACCCAGTTCAAATTGGCCATCAAATGGCAGTGAGCGATTTCCAGCCATTACTGACCCTACCTGACTTGGAACAGAAAGAGTCTTGGGTCTAAATTTAAACCCATGAAACTGGAGCTGTTCACCCACCACTTGACAGGCAAAAAAGATGATCTGGGGCTTCGGAGCCCTGAGCTGGATTTCTGGTGCTGCCACAGACTCACTGTCCACTAATAATAATGCTTTTTGTCTATTTTGATTGTGAGCTTTTGGAGGGCAGGCCTGTCTCTTGCTGTGTATCCGCAGTGCCCGGCACAATGGGGCTGTGATCTCGGTCAGGGTCTGGAGGTGCTACCATACCAGAGTCATAAGAGGGGTCCTTGGGCAGTTTGGATTCTTCCTGGCTAACAGCAAGTGAGCTTGCCAATCAGAAGACCTGACCACTGTTTGGTGCCAATACGTTTGCGGTAAAGGCTAGGGTGACCAGATGTCCCGATTTTAAAGGGACAGTCCTGATTTTGGGGTCTTTTTCTTATATAGGCTCCTATTACCCCCCACCCCGTCCCGATTTTTCACACTTGCTGTCTGGTCCCCTAATAAAAGCGCTGTTATTGTTAATGACTTTTTTTTTCCTTCTGCAAGATTTTTTTTTTAAAGGAACCTGAGCCAAACGAGCCCTTAATTACTAGCATATTAAAAGCTGCCTCCTAAAGGAAGAGGAGAAAAAAAGGCAACCTTCCATTCTGCACAGTTGTCATAGAAAAAACGAGGACAAAACGCACATCAGAAGTGGCTCAATTAGCAATCTCTAGAAGCTGGGTGGGGTTTTTTTCCCTCTGCACTCCAAGCTGCTGACATGATGGATAAATAGTCCTGAAAAGTTGCTAATTGAACAGATTTCAAACATGATTGCCAGATATTTTGCAACTCCCAGGCCTTCATTACCATGCAAATTCCGCTCGCTTGGCGCTGGGGATTGGGCGGAGGGGGGGGGTGTGAATCACCAGGGAGAAGGGACAATGTCTCGCAGTGGGGGATGGGAGGCAGGGAAGAAGGAAAGAAGGGGGTAAAATTAGGGGGAAGGTTTATGACAGATCCTGGGAAGTTTAAGGAAATCGCTCCAGCACCTGGCTAAAGCCCCTTTACTACACTCTGGCAGCATAAAGCGGAGAAGCCCCCCTGCGCAGCGCTCTGCTCCCAGTCCCCGGCCTAGCGTGGCCCCGGGGCATGGCCAGAGGGCACTGCGCTGTGGCTTTTCTCTGCCTCTCAGCAGCCATGGGGAGCAGAGCGTAAGGCTGAGCAGCCCTGAGGTGGCTCTAACTGATACCAGAAGCCAGGCGGGGCCCTGCAGTGCCCCTGAACGTGGGCAGCACAAAGCTCCACTCCAAGCCCAGGGACAAGGGAACAGAGAATCAGCCCCCCCCTCCCCCCCCCAGCTGGAATCTGATCCATAGCCCCACGAAGCCCCATCTCCTGCCACTGCATGTGAATCTCCCCAGGCCCCGCGGAAGCTGACTTGGCCCTGGCCCACCAGGCTGCGCCAGGGACTGGCTGCCGATGGCTCAGGCAGCGGATTTCTCACCTTCCCCGTCGTGGCTCAGGGGGCAGGAATCCCACAGCCAGCGAGCGCCCTCTAATCTGAGCCGACAGACGCTGCCCCGAGCAACCGTCTCTCCCCATTAGCCTCCGCTGAGGAACACGGGCAGGGGCCCGGGAACGGCCCTCTGTGGCGGTTTCCCGTCAGCTCCCTGGCTCTGTTGTTTGTGTGGGTGGTGGTGGTGGTGGGGGGTTACTCCCCCAGCTTTAGGGGAAGTAAACACTGCCCTAGGCGGGCATGGGGAGAGCTGGGCTGGAAGGGCCGACCCCCCCTCTGGCAGCAGAGTGTCTGGGAGGCGCGTGTGCTCTGGCAGAGGGGTGATGCCTGGGCTGGGGGTCCAATCGAAGGACTGGGAGCTCCTGAGCCCGAAGCCTGGCTCTGCCACAGACTCCCCCTGTGGCTCGGAGCATGCCTGGGCCGCCTTCCTGCTTGGCCAGGCCTCCCCGGGAAGAGCCCCTTCCCTTGGCCTGGACACCACCCCAGGCACCGCACGCTGCTTGCATTTGCCTCCCAGGCACACCAGAGAGCCAGTGGGTTTCAAGTTCTCGGAATGGTGGAGAAAAGCTTGACGATGGGACCCCTAAATGCTCTGCACCCCAAAGGCAAACAAAAGACGTGGCGTTTAGTCGGGTTAAAGTCTCGTGATGTGATTTTGGGGGGACGTCTGATATTTGCACGCTTGGAGCTGGCTGGCAGCACAGCGCCAGAGCGACGGTAAAGCTGTGGGTGGCCCATGGGAGAACATGGTGCCTAGGGTGTCGGATCCCCATCTGCAAAACAGGGAGCAGCTTTCCTCCTGCTCGGCAAGGCGGGGGCCGAGTCAGGGGCTGGTCAGCCACGGCTCAGTATTGCTGTTCGTTCATTACATTCATCTGAATTTAAAATTGTGCTTCCCAGATTGGAACAAAGTGGCACATTCCAGGGTTAATAATTCACCTAGCACAGAAACCCATCCCCCCACCCCGACACCCGCTGGGTTAGCCTCTTGGGACATGCTCCTGTCCATCCCAATAAGACCCCCTAGCAGGCCGGTGCAGAGCGCCCAGCCCTGCTTGTCTCAGATGTCGGCAACGCTGCGCATTGCTTGACAAGCCCTCGGCCTGGCTGCCGAACTTTGCTAGCTCAGAGATCGTTGAGCCTAATAAACTTGATTGCTGCTTCCCTCTCATCAAACACGGTTTTTTCTTTTTTCTCCTTGATCTGACATGAACCTCACTCCCAGCCCACATCGCTCCCCTGCTGGGGCCACCTTCAAAATTCCTCCAGATGCTCTGTCCATTCTCCACTGCTGGCCACTCCTGCGCAGCCTGGCTCAGGGAGGGGAAAGGAACTGAGGCCCAAGGACTCACAGTCTTTAATGATCATGGGTGTTAACCTTGGTGTCCTTTCCCTCCCCCCCAGCTCCCTGCTGCAGTGTCAAGCGGTTGCAATTCTCCTCTTTTTTTGGTCCTAAGCTGCTGTTTTGGTAAGCCCAGGCAGGCAGCACCCCGAGGTGGCTGCATGTCAGTGGTGGGCTGTGGGTACCTTGCATACAGGTATATGCAATCGATAAACACTTTGGGATCTTTGGGGATGAAAGACATTATAACCCTGTAACCCAGCATGGCCTTTCTCCTCATGGGCAGGGGCACATCAGCCTCCCCCGGGCATCCCAGCTGGCATCTTGCAGCTACCCTGGGCCGCAGCACACCCACAACTGCTTGAATGGATGCCACAGGCCTGGCTTGACTGATGCATTTTGCCATCACCCTGCACTTCGAGCTCTGCTTCCTCCAGAAGACACCCCCAGGCCAGCATCTGGGGCCTCCGCTCTCCAGACCCGCCGTCTGCCAGCTGAGAGCTGCTCCCGCTGGGGAGGGGCCATCAGAGCACCCTGAATGGGCAGTGATATTCAGTACTGAATTTGGGGGGATGTGAAACTGTTCACCCCAACTCCAGCCCAGGTGGCACCATTATCAGCTGGTGCTGTTGGGTGGCCTTCGTGAATGGTGGGGGGGGGAGCTGGGCCCACTTCAGTTACCACCCTCCTCGTTAGCAGCCTCAGCCGGAGGCCATGGACTAGAGGCCGGCTGTCCGTGCTTCAGGCTTGAAGCCCGTTGGTTGAGCAGTGGTGTGTGTACACGCTATTGGGAGTGTGCACGTGAGGCTCTGTGCATGCATGTGTGGGTACATGTATACGTGTGTGTGCACCTGTGTACGTTTGTATGTGAGTCTGTGTGCATGCGTGTGCGTGTGTACAAGCCTGCACTATCCATGCCCGGCTGCACTTGTCCGATGGTCCCCTGGGTGGCTCATCTGGCTCCTGTAAGCAGTGGGAAGATGATGCCGAACAAACCAAGCGCGGCCACAGCCCCAGGGGCTGACAGGGGATCTGGGGTATCGGTTACTGCGGCATTCGACGCAGTGCTGCACACGAGGCTAATCCGGGAGGTCAGTCACGGGTGAGCGGCTCCGGCAGGGATGTGCCTGGCCCGGCCATGGCAGGCAGGGGCAGCTCCGCAGGGGTCGGGCTGGGGGCTGATTTAGCTCATTGCACACGTCGGTGACCTGGAAGAAAGGAGCAGGCAGGACAGGGCTGCTGGAGAAGGGTGAGCGGAGTGAGCGCTACGCGCCGGGGGCAGCCCGGGCCCTGTGCGTCTCTTGAACTGGGCACCTGTAGCCGCCACTAACACCGAAGGGTCAGCATTGCTGTGGGCTTGGCCCCCTGAAAGGTGCTGTGTAAGCATCAGACTGTCTGTGCTACGCTCCGGGGAACGATGGCTCCACCGTTGCATTCCCCTGGCTCTAGCTGAGAGGCAGCATAGCCTGAGGGGCGGGGTGTGGGCCGGGGGCTCCGGAGTTCTGAGTTCTAATCCCTTCTCTGCTGCAGGCAGACCTTGGGCAAGTCTGTCGCCCCTCTGTGTAGTTCAGATGTCAGTTCTGGGTCTGAGCAGCGCCGGGCACAGCAAGGCCTCTGGGTGCTACTGTAATACATGTGCCAGTCGTTGTCGTTGGCTGGGGGGGGGGCAGCACCCCAGGATCAGAGCTCAGCGGGAGATGCCAGGGCAGCTGTGATGTCTTGGGTCAGGCCAGCTGCTTGGGACGGGCGATTCCATTGCCCCAGCTGTTACCAGGTCATGGTCAATGCTGAGCAGAGCAGAGAACCCCAGCTAGGCCTGTAAGAGCTCCCCTTCCCTCCCCACCATAGGGCGGTGAGGTTGCTGGGGGGGGGGGGGGGTTATCCTTTGCAATTAGCAGCAAGTCTATGGCTGAGGGTCAGTGATCCTCATGGACTGGTGCTGCTCTTGCAGTCTGGTTAATTATTCCACCGCTTGTTAACTGTGCGGCTTTCTTGCTTTGTTAATTTGCTCACTGCCAGTGACTAGGTGCAGGGCACATTGGCCCCCGGATGATGCCCATTTGGTGCCCTGTGCTGTGTTGTCGTCATCCCCTCCCTCCCCCCATGCAGGGCGCTGCCTAGTGTCCGTGCTCCCTGGCTCAGTGAGCTGGTGCAATCTCCCTGCAGTGCCCCAGGGCTGGCTGGGGAGGGCACAGGCGCTTTCCAAACGCCAAGGGGGCGTGGTCCAAAGCACAGGGCCGATGCACCAGCCTGCAAAGCAAGACTTCAGTCAGACTTAGGCCCCATGCTGGCTCCCTGACCAGCCGTTGTCCCCACCGAGGGCCGCCAACGCTGGAGATGCGCAGCCCCTGACTTGGGACAGAGGCTGGGCCCCTCCAGACGGGACAATTCAGTGCTGGAGCCCTGAGACGGGACACGATGGAAGCGAGCCGTAGGAGTCAGTCACTGGGAGTCAGGGGTGGCTGGGAGCTGGGGGGCAAGAAGAAGGCTGAGTCTGCTAGGAGCCCACTTGCCCCCTGGCTCCCCATTACAGCCCCGCAGGCCCTAGGCCACGTGTGACATACCACGGACCACACCCGGCTCCCACGTGACCCAGCCGCTAGGTCCCGTTGCAGCTCCTGGACTGCGGAATGGGGAGGGTGGAGGGAATCAGGGGATCGGGCGGAGCTCAAGCGCTTGCGATTTTCAAGAGTGGCCCCTGAGTAGGGAGGCCACGAATTTCTCAGAGCTCAGCGTGAGACGCCTGATTTTTCGGAGGTGCTGTGTGTGTATGTGTGTGTGTACACACACGTGGGGGGGGGGGACTCCAATTGTGGTCACTGGGGACCCAAGGGTGATTGCACCAGACCCCAAGCCCTGGTCTCAGCCTTGGCCTGGGTGAATTAGTGCTGATCACGCGAGGAGGAAGGCTTTGGGGTGGGGGCGATTTGCTTTTCAGCATGCCCAGGCAGGCTGTGTGCGCTCGGAGTGTGACTCATCCAGACACAGTGACGGGGAAAATATCTGGAGGCTCGGGAGTGCTGCGGATAATGCGTTTGGGTTTGAGTTTGATTTCCTCGCGCAGAGCGTCGGCTGGGGAGATTGCCTAAGGCAGGGGGGTGCTGGGGACCGGCGATCGAGCGCCTGGAGCTGACTCATTGTATTCCAAGGGCGCCCCTGCAAAGCTGCAGGTAAATTGGAGAAGTGAGAATGCACCATATGCCAGGGAAGGTTAATTTTAGACGGCTGCTGCTGGTGCGTGTGTGTATGCGTATGTGTGTGTGTGTGTGTGTGTATGTGTGTGTGTGTGTGTGTGTGTGTGTGTGATTATTTCTCTCTTTCACAGTCGTTCCCTGCTTCTCCACCACCGCTGGCTGCTCTGCCCCGGCAGGTCCCAGTTTAATAATGTGCAGCGACGAACTGGGGCGAATCCAGGTGTTGCCTCCAGAGGCGGCTGCGCTTTTGTTGGCTGAGGTGCAGCCAGACAGAGGAAGAAGAAGGGGCCGGGCAATTACCTGGCCTGCTGGCTTTTCTCCGCTGTGGGCCACCAGCGCCACCTACTGCCCAGGCCCAGCCTGTGGCCAACCCTTCCCTAGCAGGCCCGGGGTTCAAAGGCCGAATTCCTGCCCCCCCCCCCCCCCCGGTTCAGATCTGTGCCTGGTGTGATCCCACTGAAGTCAGTGGGTGAATTCGGGCCCAGGGGGAATAGGAGAGGCCTGGTCCCTCTGTCTGGTGAATACGCCGAACCCGGTGAGAGCCTGCAGTGCTTCTGCGTGAGATGAGGGGAGGCGGGTGTCGGTCCCGAGGGCTCTCGAGACGTTTCTGTATCTAGGATACTTGAATAACGGGGAGGGGTCCCATGCAATGCCCCACGAGTCCTTGGCAGGGATTGAACCGGTGCTAAAAACAGAGACCTCCAGCACAAGGAGAGACTCTATTAGCTGCTGTAATTCTCATAGGAGGACCAGCCACTACGGGGTGACCTGCAATGAGCATAGAACCAGTGGGTTACACTGGCTTTGCCTTTCTCTGGCTAAGGGCTGGCGTGAGGTCGGGGGTATTTGATGCGGGCTGGGGGCTCTTCAGGGAGGGGCTGGGGGCTCTTTGCTGGGTTCCTGTGGGACCTGACATTGAGCCTGACCCCTCCCCATGGCAAGGTATTGGGGACCCCTCCCTACGTTTGAATCCAATGGTTTCCATTCTCGCTGTCCCTGACCTGGCAGTCCTGGCTGGCTGAGCTCTGTGGGGCCGTACGCTGAGATCTATGCACTGGTGCTGAGAGCAGCTCACACACACACACACACACACTTGCACGCCCATACACACACAGGCACAAGTGCTCTCTAAGGGCTCCACTCAGCGCCCTTTGGAGCCAGTGGGGATCCCGGCTGGTTTCAGTGGGCGTTGGATCAGGCTCTAACACACAAGCTCTCCCTTTAGCAAGTGTACGCAGGAGGACACACGCACACACACTGATCCCTGGCGCACACTCCTCAGGCCACTGTCAAGTCACTGGCCCCGCCACATGGGTTAAAGGAAGTGAAATGCAGCCCCCTATTTCCAAGGCGTGCGGCGCCTGCCGCACCAGCCAGGCACGACTGTCGTGAATCGGTTCTGAGCCAGGCTCAGTCTCTGGTGACTGGGTTGCAGACAGAGCTTTGCGGGGTCTTGGCCCTGTAATTCCCAGTGTAATAAAAGCTCAATGGGTGCCATTGCCCCCCGGGTTCCCCTCCCCCTTGGCTCACAGAAATCCAGTGTGCCCGTCTGCACGTCGGGACGCAGCTCCACATCCTGGACTGTTGATGCTCAGCTTCCCCGGTGCTAATCCAACCTGTGCCTCCAGCTTGGATTTCCCATTGGTTAACGGGCAATTTGACCAGCTGGCCCAGGCCCTGGCAGCGCCTCCCCCAATGGGGACCACTCTGGCCTCTTCTCGTTGGCCAGCCCTCGCATGCAAGTGGCAGGTGTTGGTAGAACCCCACATTGTCCCTTGCTGGCAGCACCACTTGGGAACTTTCTGTGGAGGAAGAGGAATTCCCCTGGGAATCAGGAGAGCTGGGGTCGGTTCCTGGCTCTGCCGCAGACGCCTTGGTCAAGTCACTGGGCCTTGCTCTGGGTGTGAAACGGGATAATAATCCTTCCTTTGTCCCAGACACCAGGGGCTGGGTTCCCCAGTCTGCTGCGCGAAACTGCATTGGCTGGCAGTTCCCACTGGAGCACTCCCCCTGCATCGGGGCAATTCTGGTAGAAGTGTCTCTGCTGGAACCCCCACAGGGAGGAGGGGGTGTGTGGCAGGGGAGGGGAACCCTGTATCCGTGGCATAAATTAAATCTGTCCTGCAGGATCAATCTCTGCCCCTCAGTTCTGCTTCTGTCTTTGGCTCGGTCATTCAGTCCCGTACAACCGAGTCCTTAGAGCCTGAGGGATCCGTCGGGGACTCCGTTTGATCAGCTCTAGGAAGGATATTTCCTCTCCTCCCCTCCTGTTCTCCTCACTCCACCTGTCCTGCCTGGTGAGGGGGGCCCTGATGTGGAGGGCGGGAGTGCTTAGACAGTGACAGTGCTTAGAGTGGCAGGATGAAGTAGCCTACAAAATAAGAGGTTGTGTTTGCAACATTAAGTGACCCCCGACAAACGTCTAACCCGGGAACCGAAGGAACTGGGACATTCCTTGATTGGCCGGGGTCGTTATGTTCAAGCAATTTCCAGATCATCATTTCAACTTGTTTAATTCCTTCCCTGATTGTTCTGCTCTGAGTAATTCCCCTGCCACCGCGCTGCATGTAATGGGCCCCTGTCTCTGTGCCATTACCGAGCCTTCCCCGGGAGGCACTTAGCAGCTGCGTGGGACAGGGTTACAGTCCTGGAGCTGGCCCCAGCAGTCAGAGAGCCCCCAGTGGGAGGAGCCAAGCGTGCATTCTCACCCGGTGCAGCACCGGGAACCCCGAAAGCGCTGCATACAGACGCTCCTTCAATAGTAATAACAAATATTACTGTTCTCTGCAGACAGAGGAAGAGGGCAATGCCATGAGCCACATTTGGAGCCTTTTCTTTGCAGCTGTAAGCACTAGAGGCCGTTAAGGGGTTGTAAAGAAAAATTTGACTTCTGCTTAAAGTGATGGGCCAAAGCACTGGAAAGACAATCTAGCTGCTAATGTGCCACCCGCCCTGGCTCTGTCTGACACCTGCAGTCATTATCACAAACCTGGTGTAGGAAAAACAGCCCCGGTGCCTGTTTAATTCCGAGCAAAAATGTTTCCATTTTTCCCCATTTTGTTCCTCCAAAATGTCCCGTGTGTCTGTTCAGCCAGGGTGGGATTGGTTGTTCAGGGTGAGGACAGGGCACAGGAATAAATGCACTGGCTTCCCCGGGATTTCTCCTTTCCTGTTCGCACGTGCACCAATGGCCGTGCAGTCATGACACATCCCTCCACTCACACACACAGATGCTTTTTGGTATCTGCATTTTAAAAGGGGCTTTCTGCTGGGCAGGGAGTTGCGCACATTGAGGTTAATAGTTAAACACTTCCAGGGCGACATTTGCAGCCTTTACACATAAACCACTGGGGGCGCTTTGTCACTACACTCCCATCCTCCTATTGTATCCAGTCTGCTCTGGCCCCAGTCCAGTTCTGTAAGATTTACAGGTATGGCCCTATCTGGCAGGGTCTTGTCACCTTCTTCTGCATGCCACGGTAGCAGCATTTATCCCCATTTTAGTCAGGGACACAGGCTGGTTCAAGCCCGGAGTGGGAAGTCAGGACTGCTGCAGACCAGTCCACACTCCATCCCAAAGGCAGGCACAGAACCCAGGAGTCCTGGCACCAAGCCCCTCTCTGCCACCCCCTAGACGACACGCCCTTTAATAGCTTTCTTACAGGGGCATCCTGGAGGCAATAAAATGATGCTGGAGGATTCATGTATGACATTGAGGGTCCCATGCAGGGCTTAATTTGTGCCAGGGCCTGCCAGGGCTGAGGCCAGGCATCTCTGGGCCTGGCGGTTCAGAGCCCGGCACCTCGGGGCCTGGCGGTTCAGAGCCCCGGCGCCGCTGGGCCTGGCGGTTCAGAGCCCGGCACCTCCGGGCCTGGCAGTTCAGAGCCCCGGCGCCTCTGGGCCTGGCGGTTCAGAACCCCGGCGCCTCTGGGCCTGGCGGTTCAGAGCCCGGCTCCTCTGGGCCTGGCGGTTCACAGCCCGGCGCCGCTGGGCCGGGCGGTTCAGAGCCCCGGCACCTCTGGGTTTGCTGCATCAGTTATGAATGCAAAAAAATTACAGGAGTCCCACTGTCCCAGCACCTCTTTCATTACAAAGTAAGCCCGGGTCCCAGGCTTGCTCAGGCTGTGATAGGGACAGAGTGGTATTAGGTGAGCTGTGAGTGGTCTAATGCCTAAAGCGGGCGGGGTGAGCCAGGACTCTTGGTTCTAGTCCCACCTCTGACAGCGTGGCCCTGGCAGGGGTAGGAGGACTGCGAACCAGGACGCCTGGGTTCCTTTGCGAGCGTTGCCAGGGGAGTGCTGCCTAGTGGTTAGCGCAGGGGAGTGGGCACTGGGACCCCCGGCGGGGGCTAGGAGTCGGGGCTCCTGTGGTCTCCAGACTAGCTGTGTGACCGCGGGGAGTCACCGGGAAGGCGGGGTTGGAGCCCCCCACCCGGGCTCGGGGACAGAGGGGCCGAAGGGACCCGAACCGGCGCAGCGCGGCCCTGACACGGGGCGGTGTCTCTTTAAGAGGCCCCGGCAGCTACAGGAAGCAGTTTAGGGTTTCCTGAGCAGCCCAGCTCCGCCTTGGCCGGTGCGCGCCTCCCCCCGGCAGCCGGCCCATCTGCCCGGGGCGCAGGTGAGGGCGCAGCCTGCATCGCGCTCGGGAGCCGGGGTAGGTCCGCGGGGGGGGCCGGGGGCGCTTCCTTCTCTTCTCCCGGGGTCTCCCGGCGGCTGGGGGCGCTGCTGGGGCAGGACGGGGCCCCCAGCGCTGAGCCGTGGAGCTGGGAGCGGGCTTTGGGGACACCCCGGGCGGGGCGCGCACAGCCAGAGGAGACCTTTGGGGCCAGCTCCTCCGGGGGCCCTAGAACTTCCCCCTGGCAGATCTTCTAGGAAAACATCCTGAGCGATTTAAGCATTGGCCGTGATGGAGACTCCAGCCCCCACCCGTGGTAAATTCCACTGGTTAATTCCCCCCCCCGTCCCCCAATCAATCTGCGCCGGATTCTGTCTGAGGCTATGTCTACACTAGCACTTTTGTCGGTCAGGGTGTGACTAAAACATCCCCCCCCCCCAGTGACATAAGTTTGACCGACGGAAGCACCGGTGTGGACAGCGCTATGTGGGTGGGAGATGCTCTCCTGTGGCCGGAGCTCCGGCCGCTCCTTGGGGGTGGTGTAGTTTAACTAGAGCTCTCTCGCGCCGGCGGAGAGCGGCTCCACGGGAGACCTTACAGCGACAGAGCTGCAGCAGTAAGGTCTGTAGTGGAGACATATCTCGCTTCAACTTCCAGCCCTTGGTTCGTGGGTTAGATCTTTCCCCGCTAGGCTGACGAGCCCGTTATTAAATGTTTGTTCCCCAGGTAGATAATGACGCACTGGGACCAAGTCCCCCCCCCTTCACCTTCTCTCTGTTAATCATAGAATCATAGAATATCAGGGTTGGAAGGGACCTCAGGAGGTATCTAGTCCAACCCCCTGCTCAAAGCAGGACCAATCCCCAACTAAATCATCCCAGCCAGGGCTTTGTTAAGCTAAATAGACTGAGCTCCAGTGGAGTCTATCGCTCTACGACAGGCTTTCGAACCCTTTCATCTTTCCTGTGACTCTTCTCTGAGCCCTCTCCAATGTATCAACCTCCTTCGTGAGTTGTGGGCACCAGAACTGGACACAGGATTCCAGCTGCGGTCGCACCAGCGCCAAATACAGAGACAAAATAACCTCTCTGCTCCCCTGTTTGTGTATCGCAGGATCGCATTCGCTCTTATACCCACCATGTCAGGACGGGAATCCAGGGTCAACTGATTATTCACCATGACCCTCAGATCTTTTTCAGAGTCCTTGCTTCCCCGGATAGAATCCCCCTCCTTACGCTTGGTATTGATTTTATGGAGAAGGGCTCAGAGGCTGCGGTGCTGGGCAGCAGGATAAAACCCAAATCCTTGATGCCAAACCCCTGGGGACTCTCTCAGAATGACTGCGCTAGGAGCTGTATTTTCCAGTTTGGGTCTGAGCCTGAAAGTGGATTGGGGGGGGCATTATTAGTGTACATTACATTGGTGCCCGGAGGTGCCAACTGAGAGCGAGCGTGGGGGTGGGGGGAGTTAAGTGTGGGCAAGATCTTTCTAGCCGTTTTTGAGTTAAATGAACACTGGGATGGAAGCACTCCAGTTCTCTGCTTGGAGGAAATAGTGCGTGGATTGTTAACATTCTCGGGGTGATCTCTTTGCTCTGGAGGGGACACACTGCAAGAGGGGCCGGGTTTTCAGCCTCTGTTTCTTTTCGTTCTGCCTCCTCTCATTTTCACGCAGTCTGTGATGAACTGTTTTGTTCAGGGGATGTTTTAATCTTGTTTCTCTTTGGAGGTTGCAGATGGTGGGTTGGATCAAAATAGGATCTAGGCAAGTGCCTCACAGGGGCCCCAATCTCTGCAGGTGGGCCCCTGTACTGCTTGCAGCCCCACTGACTTCAGGTTCTGCCCTTTGCAGGACTGGGGCCGTGGTACTGACCCAGGGTGTGGCAGCATCTGCAGCGACCCATACGATACTGCACCTCATTCCCGACCCCCCCAGCCAAGGCACGGCTGGCTGGCTAAGGCTGCTCTGTGCATTGTGCTCCTTGTCTCCTGGAGTCTCTGCGACTGATTCTGGGGAGCATTTCCCTCATTTCAGGACCCGGGGTCTGTGACGTTAATCTCTCAGAGCAGCGCAGAGAACGGATCCTCTTTCCCCTCTGAACCCCGCAACTCTGCTGCGGCCCCATTACCAGGCGCCCCTCCATCGCAGGCTGCACCTGGGTGCTTTGGCACCGAACCTCATCAGTGGAGTGTGCTGGGGGTTGCCCTGGCTGGAGAGGAGCAATACTTCCAGCAGCGCCATGCCCACGGCACCCTTGATCTGCAGGGAGACTGTGAGCAGGTGAGTTTTCCTTCCTGCGTCCCGAAGAACCCACTGCCTGAATTTTTCCAGGCTGTAGTGAACTTGTCCTGGGTGGATGAGTCACAGTGGGGTAAAATCCCGCCACCCCTGAGAGAATGAGCTCTCCGGGGGGGTTGGTTTCCCCTGGACCTGCTCTGGGTCAGAGCACTCACAGAGTGTGGTTTATGTGTTAATGCCAGCAGCTGCTAGGCTCTCCACACACAGGGCTGAAGCCCCAAGGAGCTAAAGGACTGGGAGAGGCTCATGTTGTTACCGCCTGGCGGCTCCCCACTGCCCTGAGTGGAACAAGTGTGATGCTCTCAGCCTCGTTCCTGCTCAGTGAACGCTCCTGAAGCCGCTTGTTACCGGGGTCGGCTCCTGAACTCCCCTCCTCGCCCTCGGAGGGGCTCTGAAGGGTCGGTGTTGTGAGGGATGGGGGGCGGGGGCAGCTTGTTCTGCACCTGCTCTGGGGGACTTCAGGCTCCGGGGCGGCGTAGTTGGCGCCTTTCCCAAACACTCGGCTCCATCCCAGCCTGTTCTCATTGGTGCAGTGCCGTTGTTAGAGACGCTCTCCCGAGAAGCCTGGCCTTGCGTCTGCGGACACCAGGGCTCACCGTGGGAGTGGGGCGTGCTCTGTACTAGGCGTCAGAGCCCCGTCCCCTCGCGACTCTGGTTTCTGTCTCTGCAGAGTGAGCTCCGTGCTCAACCGGGACGCCAAGCAGTTCGGGAAGAAGCACATGTTCGACGGGAGCGAGGAGACCTGCTGGAACTCGGACCAGGTGAGCTGCACGGACGCCCCCTGTGCTTGCTCCGTCAGGGCAAGCATGGAAAATGGAACGGTGGCACGTCCACCCGCTGGAGCAAACATCCCGTCTGAGAATCAGGGAATCGGGCTCTACTGGCCCAGCTTACGTGCGGGCTATTGCTGAGCACAGAATGGCTGCCATGCTTGCCTCCCCGCGCCCGGCCGCTGTGCCATCGCTCCGCAATACTGCATGTGCCAGGCGCTGTGCACTGCCCCAGTGCTCTGCTGTGCCCTAGCTCCGGCTACACAGCGCTGGCCCTGGCTAACCACGGCGGGGGGCACTTTAACCGGTGCTCACTCCCACCTTTACGGGCCTTACAGGGCTCTCTGCAGAATCCGCCCTCGCTGGGTGTAACTGGTGGAGTGGCCCCTATGGAAAGCTGACTGTAACCTGCGCTCCCATTTCATTCCTGACTGTAGGGCTCCTCCCAGTGGGTGATGCTGGAATTTCCACAGACGGTCAAGGTTTCCCAACTCCAGATTCAGTTCCAGGGTGGATTTGCGAGCCAGCTGTGTACACTGGAAGGTAAAGAGCCTCCCCAGCTGGGGAACAACGTGCCGCATTCTGTGCCATTCGTTCATGTCGATTGCAGGGTCTCTTTCGGGAATTGGAAGGGCTCTAATGACGGGACAGAGGCAGACTGGGGCTCAGACGATGTTCTACTGATGCTGCGGCCAGGCCAGGTGAACTGAGACAAGAACTAATCCAGAGAAAGATCTGTGGCCGATGCACTGCTATGCAGAAGAGCACTTGGCAGTACTCCGCTGCCTTTCATGTGAAAGCACCTTGCCAAAGAGCCTGCGAGACACTGGCTCGCAAATCCACAGCCCAGCGCGTTCACTTCTGCAGCTCGATGGGTGGCCTTGTGCAATGCCTGGCAGGATATCCAGACGCAGAGGATTGCATTGAACTACATGTTACAGTATCAATTGTATTTAATTCAGCATAAATCTCTGTAGTGGAATGTCTTTCCCCAGGGCTGGGGTGTGGGAGAACTTTGGTCCAATTTGAATTCACAGGGCCTAGACTGATCCCATTTTATAACCAGGAAAACTGAAGCCCAGAGAGAGAAAGTGGTTTGTCTAGGCCAGAACAATGAGGGCTATACAGGTACCTGGACAGATAGCACTGTAGAGATTAAGTGTCAGAACTAGGAATGAAACCCAGTTCTTGGCCTGACCCCCAGTCCTGTACTAAAGCCATGGGGTGGGATTTTTCAAAAGTGCCAAAGACCGTTGGACGTCCAGTTCCCAGCGTAGATCCAGTGATTCTAATCTAACGCTGCAGCCAGCGCAGACATTTCCGTCCTCTCCTCTTGCTTCTTAGGTGGCAGAAAAGGGGAAGAACTTGTGAAGATATCAGACTTCTACCCTGAAGACATCAATGCCCTGCAGATATCCTTCCATTCTCACTGGGGGCTAGGGCTGCTAAGCGTATGCGCAACGTGCTGCAGGTGGCACGTGACCAGGATTCAGCACCACATTTGGTCCACGGCTAAGGCTGGGTACTGACAGGGAGTGCAGCGTGAACGCTGATCCATGACCCCCACGGGCTAGGTTAGAATGGCTCTTCCATAGAGTTATACGCCCAGAAGGCACCGCTGTGATCACCTGGTCTGACCTCCTGTGTGGCACAGGCCATAAGACTTCCTTGAATTAATGCCAGTTTGAAGTCGAGCAGATCTTTTAGAAAACCAAAACCAGCTTGATATTAAACCTGCCGGTGATGGAGAATCCACCGCAGCCCTGCATAAGTTGTTTCAATGCTGCACAACGTCAGCAGGGCAGGGTCTGTGTAACCCGGGCATATCGAAAGGCAGGTGGCCGTAAATCTGTTGGAGCAGGTGCTGGATGGAATCCTTGCACTCTGTGCAGTTTGCGGGAGGGTACCAGGGAAGCTGGGGGGTGTGAGATGAACCCCCGTTTTGGTGAGAATATAGCGTGTGCCCTAGCTCGCTACCTGCATTGATTGGGTTGTGCTGGGTGAGTGACTCTCTTGCTGTATTGGAAGTTGTGTGTGTGTCATGTACCCCTCTGCCCTTGTTTCTTCCTTTACTGCTCCGTCCACAGCTTCAGGACAGAAGAAACAATGCTGGATAAACTGAAAATCACCTTTGAGAACAGCACGGATTTCTTCGGGAGAATCGTCGTGTATCGCCTCAGCGTCCTGGGGGAAAAGCTCTAACCTGGGACAGAAATGGCAGAACAGCAGCCCATCACCCCGAGTGGGTTTGTTCCCCTGGTGTTTGATCAGCCGCACTCTACCTTCCCACCCTGTCTGATAGGGCCTGGTGGCATGAACTGGCATATTTGCCTTGGCAGACAGCACCTCTTACGAGAGAGGAGAGATGCCAGACTTGTTCTGCAATTGAAATGTAGCCACTTGGAAGTAAACCAGGAAACGCTCAGAGAGAAAACAGCCGTGGGCATTAACAGAACAAGGCTGGGATCCTGGCCCCCTCCCCACCCAGCTGCGGCCTCATAGCGGGATCTAAAGCCCCCGGGAGCGCACCGTGGCGTTCATGGGCTGTCCGCATAGTGCAGACCAGTGCATGACAAACATGCCGTATTCTAGTGGCTTGTCACGCGGTGAAGATCATGTTTAATGGCTGAATAAATGCTTTCCGCCTCCCGGCCCACACTGGATTTGGGGCAAGCGAGTGGGTCTGTAGAGATTAAACGAATCACATACTGAATTTGGAAACTGCCTCCTTCCCCCCAGCTTGGGCCCACTCTGCCCATCCAGTGGGGTCACAGAGGTGGCAGCTCCAGGCTTCGCTCAGAAAGTGGTGTTGAAGAGCTGGGAAGTGTCTGTTCCCCCAGGAACACCTGCTTCCTCAGGGCTCCTGCTCTCAGGGCTGCAGCCCATGAAGCCTGGTGAGTTTCAGCCCCTTGTCAGGTGGGAGAATTCCACTCTGCCCTTTCCCGGTAGGGTGAGGCCTGAGCTGCTCCGGCAAACTGACCAGCAGATTTAAATTGCCTTCGGCCCAGCTGGGGAGGGGGGTAGTTGCCAGGGGACAGCTGGGATCATGCACTCGAGGGCTTTCAGAGGCAGTGGGGATAATCCTGCTCCTACAGGAGAGAGAACTATGAAATATCATGTGGCTGCTTCCTCCAAGGTCGGACTAAGGGTGCCCGTCAGAGCTCACCTCAAGCCCCTAATACTCAGCTGTGCTGGAGAATGCGGCTAGCTGCCCTCGCCTCTGAAGGGGGCGAGATAAGACCCGAGTTATCCAAAGTATCATTAACACCTACATAAAAACACAATCAGCCGACAGTCCACTCGCTCCAGGCCTTTTACTTATGGGGGAGACAATCCCACTGAGCCCAACGCCCAAGGCTGCATGCCCCAAAGCACCCTGCCATCCCCAGGCAGCAGTGGGGCAATGCACGAGCTACTGACTGCCTGCGGTAGCTCGGCCCATCTGCACACAGCATCTGAGGTGTTCAGTAAAGTGCTCGAGCGACTGTAAGTGTAAGGAGCAGACGATTCCCCTGTTGATTTGGGGGGGTCTGATTGTGGTACCGAGCCCAGCCCCCATCACATAGGCCAGATTCCATTAGAGCTCATTTCTAATCTAACCCCATTTAGACCAATCACCCTATGCCAACCCCTTTTCCACTTAGCGCGCTCTGCGTTTGTTATTTCTTTTTTAAATAAGACGACAATCCCATTTCTCTAAATACGCTCTCCCGAAAGCATCGTTGTGTCACTTCAGCATTCAAAGGAAAAGCGATAAACTAGCCACCCCCATGATGTAGAATAGTAGGGTTTCTGGCTGTTTTGGTTTCGCCATCATTAAACAAACACTGTAGTCCCTCGGTTACGCAAGGCAGTGTGCTAGTTATGCGCCAGAAGCTCTCCAGTCTAAGACAAGTTAGGTTTCTTTGCGTTCAAAGCGAATGGCTTTGCATAGAATTCAGCTGGTTTCTCTTCTAACTGAAGTCCCAGCTTCGACTGCAGCTGGCAGAGGGTGGCGTTGCACACAAGCATGGACCAGGCCATGGCTACCTATCGACGCGTCTAGAGCACCTTAAACAGTCTCATGCCACTCATGTGACATGGGCTGGTGCAGATGATGCCCAGGTTCTGGACCTGGGAGAAGCCAGATGGGCTAGGGGAGATTTCCACGCAGCAATGGGCACTTAAGGAGAAAATGCGGGAGCTCAGCTTGGACGATGTGGACTTTAACATTGGTGGCTGGAAGCTGTTGATGAGCGGACAGAGCCGTGCGCAGCGATGAGCCAACTGGACGGACGGAGACAGTGTGGCGCTGTCTGCAGAGGGCGCCCTAGGGGGCCTGCACAGAGAACTAAAGAGGGGAGGTACCTCTGACCCCAGCACTGAAAGGGACGAATGGAAAAAGGGAGACAGCTGGTGGGGAGAGTCAAGAGGGGCGGTGGTTGATGGGGGAGGCTAAAATAGGAATGTGGAAGTGGGGAGGTGGCAGGTGATGAACAGGAAAGGAGCGTCAGTGCTGGGGGCATTTGTTGAGCTTTTCCGGGAAGAAGCTGCAGGGGGGAAGGAAGTCCGCCCACACAGCAGCTTTGAACAATGCTGCAAAGATGCACCATGGTCACTGGAGGGGGCCAGGCAGAAACTGCTGCTAACGCTCCCTGCAACGTGCTTGGGGTGGCCACAGGATTGACCCTAGCGGGTCCACCAGCACGGGCGTTGGTCCCATCCGTCCGACCCAGCAGCCCGTTCTGGAAGGCGAGATGGTGGCTTGCTCACCCGGGCTGCCCTGCAGGCCAGGGCGGCACAGCGGCTCAAGGCTTCCCTGGGATCACTCAGGGATCCCTTGTTTTAATCACGGTTGAACTAGAGCGGGTAACTGGCCCTTTAAAGAGGTGAGATTTGAAGCACATGCAGCCTTGGCGAGGGGTGGGGGAGTGACCTAACCACCTACTAACATGTGAAGGGCATAAACCTCAATGAGTGTCATGGGGGGACTGGCCCTTTAAGGGGATTTGCAGCCCCACCTGTAACTAATCAGCTGCCTCCCAACTGATGCTGCAAGGGCCGAAGATCCAAGCAGCACATTTCTCCCCCTCCAAAGACACAGCAGCTGCCAGGGAGGAACCTGCGTGAATAACAATTGCTGAGTGTGACCAGGGTGGAGGGAAGCCCCTAGACTGAAGAGGCTGCTTGTGGGACATGACTCCCAGCGCTGCTGCCTGTTCTGTCCGCACTGGGAGCGAGGCTAAGTGCAGCAGGGTGGCGTTTTCAAGCCCTACGTGGCTGGTCTGAAGAGCCAGGTGAGGGGGGCTCTGGTTAGAGCAGCTCACAGAGTTTAGCCCGGGGCGGTAGGGAATTGTCGAGCAGACGGTCTCCCCACCTAACCTGCTTCCACCAGAGCTCGCTGCAGTATGCTGTGCACTGACCTGAACTCTCCCTAAGCCATTGCAACAAGCATGGTCAATGGCCGTGGCGTGGGCTGGGGGAAGAGGGTTGTCCCAGCAGGGCAGACTTTCAATCCCCCCATGGCCTCCCTTTCGAAGGCGGCAGGGTTCACCCTCACCCCCTCGGAAGAACAGGCAGCACCCTAAAGAGCATTTCTCTGAGCAAGCCCCAGTTCCCAGCACAGCCCCACCCCGCGGCTACTGCATTCAGGCAGGGCTGCTTTAGGCACCATTTAATACACACACACACAGAGGGGGCAGAGGGAGGCGGCTTGCAGTCTTGTTCGCAGCAGAAATGCAGCTACCTGGACAATTCAGTGTCTCGCTGTGTGTGGGATGCTTCTCCTTTGCCACCTGCTTGGAGAGTAAACAGTTCCTCCTCCATCAGGGATTTCCTCCCAGTCCGGCTTCTAAAGCTCCCTCCACACCCGCCCAGCAGTGGCAGCACAGATCTGCTGCAGGAGTGTCAGCCCTTGGAAAGAGACAGCGCGTCTGGCCACCTTGTTCCCATGCAGCATCCGGAGAGCTGACGGAGACAGCAAAGCCCTGCTTCTTTCAGCCAGGGAGCACGAGCCAGCGTCACTCCAGTTTCTTGGTCTGAAACAGCTTGAGGATGTGGTTCTCAATAACCTGTTGAACTAATGGGCACAAAGAGAAGAGACACCAGTAAAGTTTCAAACGGGCACAGCTGGAGTGTGGCCAGCCTGTATGCGCTCCCCACATGGCAGCAACCACTGGGGTTTCTTAGTCGTTCTGCTTCCAGTATCCCCTTGGAAGTGTGCAATTTAGACTTGTTTCTGTTTGGCTGACCACGTACTGCACCCAACCCCTCCCTGGCTTGGCCCCTGTGAGCAGCTGGGTGTGAGCTGTGCCGTGTTAATGTCCTCTCTAGAGAATCTGATTTTCTGGGCCAAATTCAGCAAGCAGGAAAATGGGACGATCCCGTGTCCGTGCAGATTAGGGAATGCCACAGGTGGCACTCGGCACTGAGGAACCGTACTGGAGCGGGGCAGGGTTCGGGTCCAACCCCCTCATTCTAGACAGTCTGAAGGGCAGGACACTTGCCTTTCTTGTGTCCCAACGCCACGGCCAGGTCCATGGAGGTGTAGCCGGAGTCGGCTTCCGTCGTCAGATCAGCACCGCGAGCTGAAAGCAGACAGGAGCACGTGCTCAGGGGCAGATCCCTCTACACAGACCGCTCATCTCACTCTACTGAGCAGCGGGCTCTAGGGCCGGCCTGGGTGCTTTGATCTTCCCCAGGTGGGGCTGGGCGACCACTCCGGGAAACAGCAGAAGGACCATTGTAAATGCTCGGAATTGAGATGCTGGGGCTGAATGACCTGGCGCGTGACACCCAGGCTTTGCCTATCTTGGCCATTCCATGCAGAGACCCAGGACAAAAGGTGCAAGTGCTGGAAACTCGCTGCAGCTTTGGGTCTCGGGAGCCCTGGCTTTGGCCCATCTGTTACGTGCTACTATTTGTCCAGGGATGCACGTCACCTTCTGATACCCAAATAACTCCATGCCTCTCCCCACGTCAGCGCTTCCAGGCAGCGTTCGCAGTAAACAGTCACTTAAAAACCAGCACGTGAAAGTCTGTCTCATTACCTAGTAAAGCCTCGACACACTTCACGTGGTTGCCACGCACGGCATACAGCAACGGGGTGCCTCCGTTCTGCAGGGAGACAGGAGACGGCAGCCCTGAGAGCGCGCCCCGAATTTCACCCAGACACCAAACGCTCAGATACCATCAGAACTCAAAGAAGTTTCACAGGGTGTCGTGCGGCAGCTAAACCGAGTCAGCAGCTGTGGGGTGAGCTCACCTGGCCACCCGGCTCCCACGCCCACCCGCCATAGCAGCGCCCCGAGCGAGTCGCAGCGGAAGAACGGTGTAAATGAAGGACTCGATTCTGCTGCTCTTCAGGCTGAGCGGGGAGCTCTGTCTGAGGAGGTGAGATCTCAGAGGCCCACCAGGCCTGCTCTTGGGCCACGGCTCGTGGCTGTGTCTCTCTGGGCTGGCTGGAGCTTTGGCTTTGATTTTTCAAGGCTCTGCATTCTCTGGAGCTTTAGGTAGGTTAGAAGTTTACTTTCAAAGTCATTTTATTTCTAAATGCATTGGCTTGTAGTTTGTAAACCACCCCAGAGAATGAGCAATTGCCTCTCTGAAGGGGCCACTTTAAAGTCTCCTAAGTTCCCCAGGACGGGCAGTTCACTAAAGAACTATCTCCACCAGGCAAACCATTTTGGCTGGTCCCTGAAGGGGGCATTCAAGACACTGCTGGTCCTCTGTGGAATCTTAACGGAAAACAGACCAACGGGCTTGATGGGGGGCCAATGAATTTCTCCCCAGTTTGGCATCGGTGTTTCTTTTTAAAATTAATTTCTTTAACCCCAGTCATAAGCAGGATATTTTTTAAAGCCAACCTTTAGCAACAGCAAAAGCCCAGGATGGCTGTTGCAGGGAGGGACATTGGCAGGAAGCACCAGTGCATTTACCCAGTCGTATATATTGATATCGACGTCTCTTTCCAGCAGCATGGTCACTATATCGGTGTATCCTCCGGTGCTGGCCAGCGACAACGCGCTCTCCCGCTCCTTGGCCAGTACGTGGGGGTCCGCACCCTGGGGACAGGACAAGGGGGAAACCAGCAATGCAAAAGAAAACAGGTCACACACAAGTGCACTGGGATGGTCAAGGCTCTGTTCGCTCATGGTTACCGCTGCGTGACGTGCCACTTCGCTGGCACGCGCATGCCCAGGCTTATCCGCTCACCTGAGCGGCTCCAACTCACAGAGATGTTGTCCGAACTCTGAGATCAGACTGAACGGTCTGGCCATTGCTTCCCAGCATGCCGATCCTTTTCTGTGGGGCAGAAACGACGAGGGCTTCCCACCCCCCCTTAAAGAAACTGGATATTGGAAAAGCCCCACGCAGCTACCGAGGCCTTCCCCCTACAGTATAGGTCATTCGTAGGTTTATAAATTCCAAGTCCCAAAGGGACCATTGTGATCACCTGTCTGAGCTCCCAGACAGCATGGGTCCGAGAACGTCTCCAAAATAATTCCAAGAGCAGATCTTTTAGAAAAGCATCCAGTCTTGACTGAAAACGTGTCGGTGACAGAGAACCCATCACGACCTCAGTAAGTTGTTCCAATGGTTAATTACCCTCCCTGTCAAAAACGTACGCCTGATTTCCAGTCTGAATTTGGCTAGCTTCTACTTCCAGCCGTTGATTGGTGTTCGACCTTTCTCTGCTTGATTAAAAACCCCATTATGAAATACAGTCAAAGCGGTGTTATCCGGCCCTGTGCCACCCAGAAAGCTCTATAAACCGGCATTTCTAATCTCCATAGAAAGTCTGGTTTACAGTCCCGCTTGGCGCAGAGCTGGCAGGCTCCCTACCTGGCTCCACATGGCTCCCTGGAAGCAGCGACCTGTCCCGGCTGCTCCTAGGCAGAGGCGCGACAGGCTGCTCTGCCCCTGCTCCGCCCCAGGTGCTGGCTCGGCAGCTCCCATTGGCCAGGAACCGTGGCCAATGGGAGTTGCAAGGACAGCGCCTGCGGGTGGAGGCAGCGCGCAGACCTGCCTGTCGCACCTCCACCCAAGAGCAGCTGAGACAGGTCACCGCTTGCAGGGAGCCGCCCAAGGTGAGCGCCCCTCGGATCCAGCACCTCGAGCCCCCTCCCGCACCCAAACTCCCTCTCAGAGCCCACACCCTGCACTCCCTCCCATGCCCCGAGCCCCCTCCCGCACCCTGCACTCTCTCCCATGCCCCAACCCTCTGCCCCGAGCCTCCTCCTGCACCCAAACTCCCTCTCAGAGCCGCGCACCCTGCACCCCCTTCCATGCCCCAATTTCCTGCCCTGCACCCAAACCCCTCTCTCTTAGTTAACCAGCACTTTTCACTTACCAGCACCCCCTATTCCCTCAACATGCTGGATAAAACAGCTTTTACTGTATTTGTTTCCTGGGTAGATACTTAGACTGTGATCAAGTCACTTCTTAACCTTCTTTTTGTTAGACTCCAGGAACTCAATGTATTTATTTTATCACTATCAGGCAGGTTTTCGAACCCTTTAATCATTCTCATGGCTCTTCTCTGAACCCTCTGGGGTAGCAGCTTCCCCCTGGATTAAACACCCCACGCAGCAAGGAATTTTGCTTTGTCCAGAAGCTAACAATAAACGCTCCTCTGCTTCAGGACTGTAACTGACATATTTCTAAAGGCCCCAATCAAACGAGGGTGCAGCCCGAGGACAATGCAGCATGGAGTAAAAATACTTGGGCAAAACTACGGGTGGATTATGCAGCCCAGCGATAAGGCGGATCTCAAATTACCAATATGCAGATCTTTAATTACAAACAGCTATTGCGAGTTGCAAGATAAGGCTCTTTAAGCTCCTGACTTAGCCTACAGATGGCTTGATCAGAACTGTCTGATAATTGATGTTAGAAAAACACTTTTGCAAGGTTAATGTATCTGTTTTGTTCCCCTGGAAAAAAAACCAGCTGATAAATCCATCAGTAAAACCACCCTTCTGTGAAGACCTGAGATGGAGATTGGCTGGCTGGAAATCCGAATTGCCCTGGGGTCGGCAGAGACTTTTCAGCGACAATGATCTTGCTGTCAGATTGATATGGTAACTAGCGCAATGGGAAGGGGCGGCGGGGAAGAGAGAGGGGTGCTCGAAGCATAGGAGCAAGTTTTGTGACCCGATTTCCAGGGTTAAGTCCAACAGAGGTGGCCCCTTCATCCCAGAGGGGCTGGGGGAGACCAAGGGAAAGCGCTTTGCTTTGTTCCATCAAAACATGGCTGACTAAGCTGAGCGGTTGCCAGGTGCAGCTACGCTCTGTGCTGTGTGGCCAGGAGAGGTCAGTGCAGGGCACTCAATTTTGGGAGAAATCCAGAGGGGCATCTTCGCCCAACCGGCAGCCAATATAAACACCCAGGCTGGCGCTGGGCTCTTACCCAGTCGAGCAGATGACGGACTGTTTCAATCTCCCCGAAGGCAGAGGCCCAGATCAGAGGAGTGAAGCCTCTCTCGTCGGGCTTGTTCACCAAGTTCTCCCCTGAGCAGACAAGAAAAAAGAGCCTTGTACATACAGACCATCCACCATTTGCTCCCGTGGTTACAAGAACTCAGCCTTCAGAGGGCTTTGCAGTCATAAGAATATTCCTCTCCACCCCCTGGTTCAGTAGCATTAGCTGCATTTTGCACATGGGGAAACTGAGGCACGGACTGGTGGCGTGACTTGCCCAAGGTCACAGAGCAGGAGAAGAGGTCAGAAGGGTTACTGGCTACCACTCCTATGCTCAGGCTGCATGTCACCTGTCCCCCACTGCTCCCAGGGGAGCATTTGTGTCCTTAAAAAAATTCAGTGCTCCCAAAGAGAGAGGCATTTCCCAGTTCGCTCATGTACCACTCTGTGTGTTGCTCTCTTGGGCCTGGAACATTGGCTCAGAGCCTGGCCCCAGGGAGGAAGGGAACAACAAGGCTCCAGGAGGGATATGGGGGAAGGAAAACAAATCAAGAAGCAAGAAGATAATGGAAGGAAAATATAAAATGAACTTTAGAGAAGAATTGGTGCTACGAAGTATGGGAGCACGACCTGATCCCTGGGGAAGAAGGGGTTAATCTCAGCCTCCCCTTTGCCTTGCACAGAAGCAGGCTATCTACTGGCTGCTTGTGAGACAGAGGTTGGCCGTTATCAGTGGGGAAGAAGAATACTACCCCGCTGGTGCTCCAACCAGAGGAGTCTGGGGTTGTGTGAACTGGGCTTGGCTTCCAGTTAGAACTAGCCCCCCTTGGGGAAAACCTTCTGTGATGGCACCTGGGGTTTGTTTCTGCTGAATCCTCACAGCAGGACACCAGGTATTCAGTGCAATAAATGCAAAGGGAAGGCTGGAGCTGGGGAGAGGCTCTGACCTTGCAGCCCCCGCTGTGGCCCCCCTTGGCAGTCTGAGCATTTGCCATGTCTCTAGCCTATCACACAGAGCCAGACTTCACCAGGCAGCTCCCTTGTGATCGAAGTGCTCTAGCCTGTCACACGCTTCCTACTCCAGGAGAGGCCTCTTGAAGCAACGGAGGAGACCAGCTAGGTACGTGCTTAGGACTCTGTGCAGTTCTACATCAAAAACTTAAATTGTCCCTAAAAACCAGGATAAAGTGGGGGAAGGAGACGGAGAGACAGACTTGAAGTTTGATGCACGCACCTTTTCGGAGATACTCTTTCAGCTGACTGAGTTCACCCTGAGCAGCCAACTGGTGGATGGACAAAGCTGGTGTTGGAAAGGAAACGAAACGTTAGAATTACATCTTTTTGTATCTGCTGTCTGGAGATACAGGTAAGTACGTGTACAGCCTATGCAAGATCAGGACTGGCCTAAGCAGGCAGCTGCATTATGGCTTCACATTCTCTGCTCTGGTGGGAGCGTGGGGTAGAATCAACTGAGCCAAAATGGGTGAAGTAGGAGTTGGGTTTTTTCCTCCTCACTAATCCTGCTCAGAAAACTTGCTCTCACTGAAACGGGATAAAATAAGAAACGTTATTGGGATAAAGATCACATCTGTAAAACAAACAAACAAACCCCTTACCTATTAATAGCTCTACTCCCAGCCATCACACTAAAAATAATTCTGAGATGCGGGGGAGGGGTAGCTCAGTGGTTTGAGCATTGGCCTGCTAAACCCAGGGTTGTGAGTTCAATCCTTGAGGGGGCCACTTAGGGGATCTGGGGCAAAAATCTGTCTGGGGATTGGTCCTGCTTTGAGCAGGGGGTTGGACTAGATGACCTCCTGAGGTCCCTTCCAACCCTGATATTCTATGATTCTATCCCATTGGAGGACTTCCTACTGCATCGAGTCACTGCAACTCTTCATGCATATTAGTTAGACCCATATTTAAATGTCTGCCAGACTGAGGCCTTGCCTTTCACCACCAGTGCTGCTGCTTGGCATCCATTTGCACAATGAGCCACAACCTGACTGTCTTTAGCTAGTTTTGCGTTCAAGTTCCTCTGCACTAGCACTGCCCTGCAATGTTTGGGGTGCAGGAGCTGCAGGGATGTTCACATCTAAACAAAAACAATCACGGATTTTTGTTTTTTTGTTTCATACAAACATTTCTACGTTGACATTTCGGTTTGATAAACATTTTGTTTTTAAAAAAATGTATCTGTTCAACCTAATCTTTAACTAGCTGAGCGTCCCATTAATACGAGGCAAATACAAACAACACAAATACAATCAAATATCCGACCCGATCTTGTTTGAAAGATTTACAACAAAGTTCACAGCAACTGGGGAGCTATAAAAACATGGGGAAATGACACTTGTTTCCTACCATCACTTACCAGGCTAGTTGTTTTAAAACTACCCTGCTATTTGTTAACTAGTGCAGGAGAGGAGCGCCGACATATCATTAAAACAAATGGGATGCAGTAAAAATGCTCTGGGAACAATTTTACTGTAAGAGGGAGATACAAGGACAATGTTCTGCTGGATGCCCTGATTAGCACCACCCCATTGTGGAAACATCGGCAGTGCCCCATGTGACTGGCAGGAGAAAAGGAGGAAGAGTGAACATCTACTGGTGTCTTAGCTGCAAAAGCTGCTCTCCCTGGCTGAAAAACTCGAAGCTCCCCCCTAGTGCCGTGTGTCTCAATGACCGGTCCCGGAGATCTCCCTGACACAGTTTAGGAAGGCAGCAAGCTGGTCCCTGGTATCAAAAAGGTTGAGGGACACTGGCCCTGGCACACAAGCGTCTTTCCCAGCGCAAGCGGCACCTCTGAGCGTGTGATCTTGCAGCCCTGCGATACTCACTGTCGAGGGTTGCTGGGAGGGCAGAGACCTCGTTGCCTCTCTGTCTGTTTGTCAGGGTGGTCGAGTGCTTCAGGGACGTACCTGCCTCGTTTAAAAAAAAAAAAAAAAGAGTTGAAGTGGTGACATGTTGCAGAGCAGAACCGGGGTAGTTCCACCTGGGGGAGGTTCTACCAACACAGAAATCTATCCCGCAGGATTCTGGGACGGTCACCATGAAGCCTAGAACGGCCGAGTCAGCGTGAAGCGAGGGGAGCAGCTACAAGCGTCGCTGACGACTCTGTGTTCGGAATATCGCCAGGGTCAATCGTCCGTGGGGCTCGCGGTTTGTTACTACCCAGGAAGGTCTCAGCCATTCTGACTTTACAGATGACACTGGGGGACAGCCCGGACGTTCAGCCACAGTAAAGCGTGTATCTATGCCAAAGCAGGAGTCCTAGACCATGGTGGAAGTTCCCTGACTCTCAACGTTCCTTTGCTGTTCACAAACAGCTGTGAAACCTGGGGCATTTTTTCCACAGGACCCCTGCCTTATTCACTGCCCAGGCTGGATGTACGCGGGTTGTGCAGAGGAGGCTGTTGTCTGTAAGGCCCCTGTCTCATTTGTTGCAGAAGCTGGCAGGTGTGCAGCGAAGGAGGCAGGGAACTGCAGGAAGAGCACGCAGGGTCTCATGGTTAAGGTGGTCGAATGCAGCCCTGGAGAGCTGGATTCTACCCCTGCTTCTGCCACAGAGTTCCTGTGTGATGCTGGGCAAGTCACTTACATCAGACTTTACGCGGGTGGCCACTAATTGCGCATGCCTCGTTTTCTGGGGGCCCACTCTGACCCCCTGGGGTCTGACATACAGAAGAGCTGAAGTCAATGGGAGCTGTTCTTTGAACGTCTGAAATGTTCTTTAATGCTAAGGACTCTGACAAATCAGCCCTCGCCCTTTCAGATTGGGCACCCACAATTATTGGACACTTCTGATCCTATTCTCTCCGTGCTTCAGTTCCCCACCTGTACTATGGTAACAGTAATCCCCTCAGCTCACAGGAGTGTTATGTCTGTATGCCATAGTGAAGAGTATTGCAGAAAAGCCCACGAGGAAATTATAATTCTGTAGTCAGAGCAGGGTTTGAATAGTGCGCAGTAAATAAGGCCTGAGGCCACACACCGAACAGTGAGAAGAAAACAGAATATTGAATAGCTGCTCATTCGCATAGCACCACCCATCCTGAGCACTGCATGAGGCAGGGTTTCGGTATTAAAAATAGCATGTGATCACGTCATTAAATACTGTGTCATAATGCACACGCACACGGCGGGCCAAGTTAGGTTGCACAGGCAACCTTAATTCTGGCATTTCCTAACTTCTGAAAGCTTGACTTTCTAACCTGAATGTTTATTTACCATATTTTAATGCAATTTCCTAAGGTCTTTAAAAAAGGAAAACGTGGAAAAATTAAAAAAAAAAAAAAAACACCCCACAAATCCATGATCTTTGGATTCACAGCACAGTCCTCTACTATGTGAACTAATGGAGTAACTGGCAGCAGTAGAAGCTATTATCTTCTATGTGGCCCTGCCCCTAGAGGAGGACAAGACTCACACTTTGTTAGTGGGATTCACAGATATTTGCTGAACACCAAAGAAATGCCAAGACTCCGAAGTCTTGGATCACAGCCTTTCCCATGAGTGTTTCCCAGCAGAAGTTGTGCCTCTGAGAATGTGATCTTGCAGCCCTGCGATACTCACTGTCGAGGGTTGCTGGAAGGGCAGAGACCTCGTTGCCTCTCTGTCTGTCTGTCAGGGTGGTCGAGTGATTCAGGGAAGCACCTGCTTTGTTTAAAAAAAAAAAAAAAAAAGGTTAAACACTGGTTGAGAAGGTGAGTTGTTTCTTGCTGAAGAGCAGAATCTGGGCTAGTGATGTTTCCCAAAAAGGGACTGATACTATATAACATAATGCAACGAACAAGGTTACACAGCACCCATCTTCCAAGCGCTATACGTTTACTAGCTAACCCTTAGGGAATAAATAAATCTTCCTCCCTGTTTTACCGAGAGGAACCAGACTGGAGTTTAAGGCCCATATCTTCAAAAGTAGCTGTCGACTTTTGGATGCCCAACTTGAGATACCAGGGCCAGTGCCACTCCATTAGAAGTCGATGAAGGCTGCAGCGTGCAGTATCGGTAAATGCCAGGCCTGTGGGGTCTCAAACAGGACACCCACAAACTGTGACATTCACAAATCCGTGACCACTTTTGCTATCTTTGACCTGAGTGACTTGATCAAGGCTGCACAGAGCTAGGATTAGAATTCAGGAGCTTCGAGTTCCCAGTCCTATGTTCAGTCCTCTAATAACACAACCCACGTGTCCTGACCCCCACGCTCCTGCTCCAACCACAGTAAACTTTGCTGCTGCTTCTCACTCGTACCTTTGTGGAACAGCTGTCCCAGAGGCTGAGGGTCCTTTGGGTGCTATTTGTGCACTGCTTGTACGAAGGCACCACTTACTATCCATTTGTTCCTCAGTTAGTTGAATGATAGAAGTGGGTTTAGTTCACAGCGGCTGGCCAGAGTCCCCCTGGGGTGGGCTTTATAAGGCCAGGAAGTATGTAAAGGGACGGGTTAATAAAGTGGCATGGAGATAATTAGCCATTCCAGACAACTCTTCCTACACTCCCTCTTCTTCTCTCCTAAGATCACAGCGAGGGATTTTCCTCTGCTGCTGGGTTTATCTCCCACTCATGGTGCCCAGTGACTACCAGCTTCTGGATCCATTCCTCCCAGCCATTCCCCACCCCGTCAACCCCAAGCAACTAACCGGTTTGCGCAGCAAGGCCTTGGTCAAGATCTGGATTGGCATCGTCCTGCATGCCTGGATACAAATGCAGACGCGCTGTCGCTGAGCTGTTCTGATCCCCACTAGCAGCCTTGTCCAGATCTCCTGGTGGGATATTTTCCATCGTTCAGCGTTACGCTCCTTCAGGCGCTTAGTGGTGCTTCTGCTGCTTACAGAGCCCTCCGCAGAGGGGTTGGTGACTGTTTTTTCGCCTTCCCTGGATACAGCTGCTGTTACACAAGGAAATATTAAGGACGGGAAAGTAACAGACAAAATATCTTTTACAGAGATGGACGTAGACCTATGTATGCACACTCCTACCACGGAATGGGCTTCCAAAGAGCTTGACCAGAGTGAAACTCCCAGTGGAACTAATAATTTATTAAATAAGGCAGAAGCACAGCTGGGGATTGCAGGGTATATGCTGCAATTATGATTAAAAGTGGATCTGTTCTGCAGAGCCTGTCTGTGGGCATAATCCAGAGCCAACTGCAATCTAGAGGAGTTCTGGCACTGGTTTAAATGGGATTAGGGTTGGGATATATCAGAGATTTGTGTCTGCACACCCGCTGGTGCACTTCTCCATGCCAAATCACTTGCTCTCGGCACTGAGGCTTGAGCAAGTCAGTGTCGATCACAAACTCAGAGTTCATTTGTGAAGTCCTATTACGCTGATTACTATCTATGTGTAGTGGTAGCTGTGTGGCTCCTAGGATATTAGAGACAAGGTGGAGGAGGCCATATCTTATATTATAGTTGGTCCAATTAAAGATATGGCCTCATCCACCCTGGCTCTCTAGTTACTCTCTAAGATATTTATATGGCTCCCATTACTACAGTATGGGAGCACCTCACTATCTTTAAATGCACTTTCTCCCTCCCCCCCATGCTGAAAAGACATGCAATTCATCCCATTATACAGATGGGGAAACTGAGGCACGGAGAAGCTAAGCGACTTGCCCAGTGCCACGCAGGAAGTCTTTGACAGAACTAGGAATTGAACCTGGGGCTCCCAAGTCCGAGGAGTCAGTACCCAAAAATCGGACTCTCAGGATTTCCAGCTCCAACCATCAGACACACTTTGGCCTCTTGCACTGAAGAGTTGACGTTAGTTTCCCCAGGCCCCTGTAGAAATGCTTCTAGGTCAACCCAAGAAATCACCAAGGGAAGGCAAAACCTTCCAATGGTAACAGTTGAGTTTAACGGCACTTCGCTAGCAAAGCACCCAAGTTGTGCAAAGCCTGGACCCCAATCCTAACCCCTCCCCTGGGCCAGCCCCCGCCTGCATCTTAGGCCCACATCAGACTTGCAGAGGACACCAGTCAGCGGGTCCCAGCCCCTGGGGAGGCGACTCCCAGCCCAGATTGGCTCAGTGCCTCTCTTGCTGGCTGGGTTCATGGGGGGCGGTTGGCTCCCCCAGCCCCCCCCCCCCCCCCCCATTGCAGTAACTTGCAAAGCCTGGTCACGCAGCCAATCCAGCTGCCACAGGGCAAAGACTCCGCTAATGGGTATGGTCCCCTTGGGCGTGTGGGCACCTGTTGGCACATCCCACTGCAAGGGGGCAAGGCAGAGCCTAGCGGGGCTGAAAGCAGCATGAGCAACGTGGGCATCGCCCTCTCCTCCCCCCCAAGCCACAGCCTGGCGAGCAGCACCAACTTCTCTCTTTGCATCCGCTCCCCAGCGACCTTTCCCCACCTGCTGCCCTGTCTACCCGCCCCTCTGGCCAGGCAGAGCCCCGCGCTGCCCCCGCGGCTGGGGGGCACCCACCGCATCCTTGCACCCGGCGAGGCCAGCTGCCCCCCTCCCCACCCCTTCCTCACTCCGAACTGAAAGTAACTTTGTTGCCCCACAATGCACCTGAGCCCCGCCGCAGCGGCTGCTGGTGCAGAGCCGGAGCCCGCCTGGCCCTTTAAGAGTTCCGCAGTGGGGGGAGCAGCTCTGAGTGGGGCGCGTGCATTGCAAAGCTGGGGGGCGCGGGGAGAAGGTTGCTCTGCTCCGGCTTGGAGCCCCTATCAGCTGACCCGCCGTGGGAAGGGCTTCGCACTCAGCCTGGCTTTAAAGGGACAGTCCCTCTCTTGTGGACCTGGTTACGCAGCCCCGCAGCAAGGGGGGACAGGGGGGTTGCCATCCGGCTGGAGATGCACAGATGCCAAGGGGGTGTGTGTGGGGGGGGAGTTTATGCGGGCAGTGGCCAGACTCGCCTTCCCCCTTATTGCAGGGTAGGTCTGTGGACTCTCTGGGGGGTGCAGATAGGACCAAATCTGGACTGATGATGGGCCCTTATTAATGCTTGAACTGGTGCGGTCTGTGCAAACTGCCCGGAGAGCTCAAACCAGATTGATACAAACCCAGAACCCAGAATCTGTCACCTGGCTTATTGCTGTTTGTAACACACCCTTGCCCAGAGGTGCCAGTTGTTGGCTCCCATTGCGCCAGGTGCTGGAGGAAGCCAGGCCTTGAGCTAGCATGGGAGGGCGGCATGGGTAGGAGACAAGGCGGGTGTGGTACTAGTTTAGATGCCAAGGTGCCTGGATTCCAGATCTCGTTTATTATTATTGCATCCTGCACAGGGTGGAAACTAGTCCCACTCCCTGCCATTTGCTGCTGCTTCCAGCTGCTCTGTGGTGTTAAGAACTGTCCTGCCCTCCCTGCTAAGGGGTCTTCTTAAGCTTTCTTTTGGGCGCCCTCCTTTCCTCACACCAGTTGGTGAACAGCTTCCAGTGGGAGTCTGCGTTGGTCTCCAGAGTACATGCCCTACATGTGTCCAGCGCTTCCTTCTGATTCTAGTGGAGATGAGCTGCTGGTTGGTGATTTCTTGGATCTCTTTGTTGCTGATGAAATCTTTCCATCCAGTGCCCAGGATATTCCATAGGCACTTATTTTCAAAGGTGGCTAACATTTTGGTAGATCTTCTGCTCTTGCAGCTGTATGTTAGCACTGAAACTACATTTGAGTTAAAAATCTCTTTACTAATTGCTAATTAAAATCTCCAGTGAAAATCCCTCCTCTCCCCCACATCATAATCCATGTGTGTTCTTTCTGGGGAATCGGAATAATGGTGTGTTGCCCTTCTTTCTGTCCTGGGATCTCAGAGGTTTATGTACCTATTGAATGAAGGTGGGTAATGGCAAATTACTTCTCTGTCATTCTGCTTCTTGGATCATCTCACCGGATTCTCACTGCTGGGTCTCGTGTCTCCAGTGTGAGACATGCAGGCATCTCACTCCACAAGAATATAAACAACCCCCTTTCTCTCTCTAGCGACTAGCACTGCAGATCAGGAATGGGCCTTGAGTACCTAGTATGTGATTGCCTAGAGTCAGACTGTGACCCCACACACATCACCCCCTCCTCAAAGAAAATCCAAATGGGGGGGAGGGGAATGCTGGGTGGGATGAGAATCCTGCCAGACAATATCTCCAGAGAAACAGAAGTACTCGTGAGCAATTTCCCCCTCTCTAAAGACACCATCTGGGCCGGATTCTCACCAGTGGATCGTATGTACAGCCAACTGACCAAAAGACACAGACTAAAGAAATCCTTTATGAGGCTCAAAGAGTTTGGTGCACTCTGTACAAGGTGCAGGATCACAATGCAATGCTCCCTAGAGGCCGGGGCCACGCAGAATTGCTTAGTGCATATACAGAGGGTGACCTATGGTGCCCCTGGGCGTATGTCTGCCATTGAGCCACTTTGAGGCAAGACATATCAGCTGCTCTCCTTAGACTGAAAGAGTCTTGACCTTGTCAGGCCAGCCAGGTCACAGCAGCGTAAAGCAAGCAAAGATCGTGTGGAGCGCTGGTGTCTATTTGCCTCTCTGTACACTGCTGGTGACAGCCACCAGCACTGGCCAGTGATGCCAGATGCCCCTCTCCTGCCTCAGTGCGAAGGGGAGTCACTAAGTCTCCCCACACAAGAGGGCAGCGGTAGGTAAGAGGGGGGTGAGGCTCACTGCCCATAAAACTTCTCCCACAGTGATGGAGCTACCTTGTGGAGAGGGGCAGGCATGACGGGCAGAACCCACCACCCACGCCCATACTATAATCACCAGGGGTAGCTCCCCTGGGAATTTCCACTTGGCCCTGGTACATGGCAATGAGGGAGGGGCTCACGCTCGGAGGGCACCAATGCACCAATCTCATGATTTTTTGGAACCTGACTCATGAGTTCCGACCACTTGGAATTAGCAGCACTGGGATGAAATCAGGGGCCCTGGAAATGCTGTGGGCTTCCCCCAGCAACTGCATTCCTTCCAGGTGGGGCCCCCAAGGGTAATCATGGGTGGCATTTACAACAGCTGTCCTGATAACCCTTCACATTTCATTCTAGTGCATTCAAGGGCAGAGACAACGTGCCATTATGTCTGCCACAGAAAATCCCTGCCTCTTAGGGCTAAAGTGACCAGATGTCCCGATTTTATAGGGACAGTCCTGATATTTGGGGCTTTTTCTTATATAGGCTCCTATTACCCCCCACCCCCTGTCCCGATTTTTCACACTTGCTGTCTGGTCACCCTACTTAGGGCGGGCAGACAGAAGCGCAGCTGGGAGCTGGGGTTTGCTGGGGTGGGGAAGTCACATCCTATGGGGCCACACAGCGGGGAGGTGAGGGTCCTCCAGGGAGGGGTGGCTCACTGGCCCCAGATGGTAGCGGCCTAGGGAATGTTCAGGAACAGGGGCGGGCGAGGGAGCGAGAGAAGAGGCGGAACCTTTGCGGCGTCGCGCGGTTTCCAGAGGGGCCGTTTCCAGCGCTGCACCGCGGAGCCGGAAGTTGCCCTCTGGGTTGGGATTCCGGTCCGGCTTCGGCATCCGCTACACCCCCCTCTCCCCCCCGCCCGCGATGGAGGAGACCGAGATGCAGCTCAAGGTGAAAAAAGGTAAATGGCGGCGCCGGGGCTTCCGGCGGGGGCGGACCATTCCCGGGGGCCGCGATGGGCGGGGCATATGGGGGGGGGTCAGAGGGCCCTTGGCAACGCCCGGGGGGCGGGGTCAGAGGGCCTCAGGACAGTGCCCAGGGCTGCGGGAGGGGGTTATAAGGCCCTTGTGTGGCCTCCCCTAGGTGGGGTGGGGGCATTTACAGAGCCTCAGGGCAGCCCCCTAGGTGGGTATAGGGCCCTAGCTTACCCTCCTGTGTGGGGTCATAGGGCGTTCTCTGTATTGGGGCAGGGCAGTTCTGGAGCCCCAGGTCAGCTCCGTGGGTCGTGCAATTGTATGTGGCCTCCCCTGGGTGGGTGGTGGGGGCCTGACAGATATAGCCTAAGGGGTCCCCTGACCACTGCTAGTTTGTGTCTCTTCTTCAGATCAGTCCTGATTTTTTTTTTTTAACTCTTCCTAAGCTGAGCGTCCTGCAGCAAGGAGTTCCACAGACTGCTCCCGTGGTTCACTTAAAGAGCATTTTTTAAAAAGATACATTTTAAAATGTTTGCGTTTTTATTTCAGTGGACTGCCTTGCCCTCTTGCAGTGTATTAAATCCATCGCTGTCTGACTTGCGGCAGGTCTGTGGTTAGCAAGCAGAGCCTTCACGTGTGAATTAAAACGAGAGGAAGGATTTGGTTAAAAGAATCTCATGGGGATTTTTTGCTACTGGTTTAACTTCACCAGTGAAGATATGACTTTATGTTGTTGCAGCCCAGTTTGAACCAGGCACCTGGAAACTGGGATAAGATGTGCTAGTGCAAGTTTTGTTGCACTGGTGTAAACCCATGTCTATGCTAGGGGTTTGCACTGGTGACTAAAACCCCAGTGTTGACAAGGCCTAAAAAAAACCCCACTTCTGGGCTTTGGTGTTTTGTGGGTATTTGGAAACATACAAAGGCAGCTGATATGAAGTGGCAGGATGTGCAAGAAAAGCTCTAGGCCAGAGATTGAGTGTCTGAAAAAGCATCTTTCCACAGAGATCCCCAGAGGTGTGAGTCAGGAAGTAAAAGGGATTTCATAGGAAATCCCAGACAGGATCAGACCCAGCATCCATCTAGTTCAGTATCCTGTCTGTGACAGTGGCCAGTATCTGACGCTTCAGAGAAAGATGTAAGAACTTCCCAGTAGCAGATGCAAGCCTGCCTTACATCTCATCTTGATCTCTAATCATTAGAGATTGGCTTAAATCTGAGGCATGAGGTTTAATATCTCTTCCAAAATGTTTATTGGCATTAACTGTTATAACCCTGGATATCCTTGCTGTCCAGATAACTGTCCAATCCCCTTTTGAATCTCACATTCCAGTGCCCTACCATCCAAGGGTCTGTTCATCTGTGCTTAATAACAGTCACATAGTTGCTACTTCCTCTTTCTCTCCCCTTCTTGCCACAGCACATTGTGTGAGTCCCAACACAAAATGGCCTCACATCTGCAAGTCAGATGAGTAGTGGGTGTCCGTATCCTTTTTGGAACATGTAGTTGGCACGTGGCTACCACTTGTTTTGCAAAGCTCAGCATTTATCTACATCTATATTCAAGCCGTTTGGAAAGTTGGCTAACAGCAAACACTGCAATAACTGAACACTCATAAATAAAACAAAAGCTGAGAGCTGGGGAAGTAAAACTATTTGCCTTAAAAGGAACTTGTTTAAAAAAAAAAAATGTATTCAGTTCCAAAAGATCAGCCAGTTCACGCTATGCATGGGCTCAGGACTAGCTGAGCCATAAACCAGTGTATTTAAATATGGCAAAAAATACCCACTACTTACTTTTTGCTGTGATTAAAAAAGAAAAAAATCTACATCCACTATTGAAAGGTTACTTCTGAAAACCTCTCTGATCTTTGTGTTTCAGATAGCTATGACTGATAAGGGGCTGTAGGTGTATATGGGGCATTGCAAACCCACAAAGAGCAGGGACTCTCTTCCCCCCAAAAGTTTGCAATCTAATTCACAGGATATGGAGCTTATGAGCCAGAAGGCAGGGCTAATGTCTCCCCTTTGTGTATGGGGACAGGCATGCTGTCTGTGCTCAATAAATAAAACATTTTAAATCATAAGAAAGATGTTGTCAATGATTTGTATTGTGGTCATGTTTAGTGCCAAGACCAGGGCCCCATTGTGCCAGATGCTGTACAAACACATAGTGAGAGAGTGCTCCAGAAAGAGGCAGATTCAGGGTGGGAAGGGAAGGGGGCGGGGGGCCCCAGAGAGGGGAAGTGACTTGCCCAGGGTCCCACAGTGGGTCAGTGGCAGAGCTGGGAATAGACTTCAGGTCTCCTGAGCCCTGGTCCTGCCTCTCTAAAGAACATTGTGGGGATATCCATGGGGGAAGGTTTCCTAAAGGAATTGTGCTATTAGGAGGAAGAGGGAGGAGTCGGTTTGCGGGTGGTGAGAAAGAGAGTGCAATGCTAGGAATGGAAGGAGAGGAAGATTGGGAGAAGGATGGGGGAGATCACAGAGGTGGTGGGACAGTGTGATGCACAGCCTTCAGGATTGAGAGGTTGAAGGTGATGCAGCACGTTCAAGAAACAGCATTTAGTGGCTTTAGAAGCTGGTCATGGAGACATCAGCAGGGCTGGAAGGAAATTTGTTTACCTCCTGCCTCAAAGCAGTTTACTGGGTTTTAAAACCACTGTGCTGTAGCCCTCTAGGGTTTTTTTCTGGCAAGGCACTCTATGGCCCAGAGCCATGTCCATATGATGGGTTTGTCACACCGACTGCATGCTACTGCGTGTTCATGGCATACTCTGTTAGGATCCCCATGGGGGCTGTTGAGATGTAAGGAGCATGATGCATGGAACTGGGTGAGCAGCTGGAAAGGGAACCTCAAACCCAAGGTCAGTCTAGATTTCTGTGTTGTCAGTACCCCCTCTCTGCCATTACTTCCCGGCCTTTCATGCACTCCGCACTGGAACAAGAGTTAACTTTCCCCTTCAAGATTAATTTTAGGCTCTGCTAAGATGCAGATGATCTGTGGCTAGCAAACCCAGAAGGGCCCGCAGATTCCAGAGCCCCAGAGGGTACGGTAAACCCTGCTGCTGTGCTGTGAGTCTGGGGGGAAAGATTCTGAACAGAAATCAGTGCTTAGCTTGATTTTGCTTTAATGTACCTGCTGATAGGCTAGACGTATCAAAGGGGGTTGGAGCTTTGCCTTCTCCCCGTTTATTCCCATTTTAAATAATGCCGCTGTTTTGCTTATTTTAGTTACAGACAAATTCACAGAGAGCATGTACATCCTGGCCAACGAGCCATCTGTGGCACTGTACCGACTGCAGGAGCATGTCAGGCGCTCCCTTCCGGAGCTAGCCCAGCATAAGGTGAGAGCCAGTCTGGGTCAGGGGTCCAGGGCTGGCAGGAACAGGGTGCAAGCTGCCTTTCTCCCCATGACACTAGCACCCCTGGCCATTTTTTCCTGACTCTCTGAGGCAGGAGAGAACAGGATAATCAAGTCCAGGTGAGAGTACGGTTTAATGATTAGAGGAAAGGGGTTGGGAGCCAGAGCTTCTGGGTTCTATCGGGTCTGCTACTGAATTGTTCTGTGACTTGGGAGAGTTGCTTTGCTGCTCTGTGCCTCAGTTTCTCCATCTGTAAAGTTGAGATGGTATGACTGGCCTTCCAGGGCTGCTATGAAACTTATCTAATTAATGTTTGTAAAGCACCTTGAGAACTTCAGATGAAAGGATCCTCAGAAGGGCAAAGTAGTGTAACATAATAAGCTGCTTCAGATAGTTGCTGGCAGTAGTAGACCCAAAGTGACCAGAACCCCTTGGAAGATCCCAATTTTGGTTGACCGTAAAGCTCCAAGTTGCTGCTGGGTTCACTTTGGACTAAAGCAGAACGAAAAGGACTTTGCAGCTGGTCAGGGCCCTCTAGTGGCTGCACTTTGCACTGCCGGGGGAGCCTAGAGTACTGTGCTGAGTTTCGATTCCTTGCTCCCTGGACCAGGGAAGGCTGGGGGGTGTCTAGAGTGACATGTTCCCCCCCCC